TCTCCTTTCTGCAAGCCATATAAAGGAATTCCACCTGAAAATTTACAGGGAGAATTCGAGGCTTTGAAAAAGGCTTGTAAAATACACGCAAGATTACTCTAAAGACTAAATGATTTTGGAGAGAAAAGTGCATCATATGGAGGTAGTTATTCGTACGATTTGATTTCAGTGAGCCTTTGTGGGGAATCGAAGCCCGTTGTGCAGCCATAGCGAATCATTGCTTCACAGCCGCCATAAATCGTGTCGGTACCGAGGTTTTCCCTCACGAATTCACCTCAGGGAACGGACTTCCAGGTAAGCAACAATAAACTTCGATATCTGTGTTGAGGAATTGCGGAGTGCTTGCCAGGATAGGTCAACAGGTCGTTCGGCTGAATGCACAGCGGCTGTTACGAAAGGTTACGTGCGCATGACATTTTGCTCTGACTGAAGCAGCAAGTCAAATTTTACGGTAGCAGCGTACTAGCAGGCTGGTAACTAAATAGTGAATGCATCAGGTGTATCACCTGTATCCGACTTGTCCTCACAAATTTTCACAAACAAACAAACACACAAACAGCAAACATTCACACAAGTCAATTTTGGACCATCCGTTGTGGTCTTGTGTACGTCACCTATGCACATTTTGCATTTTTTTACATTTTTTTTTCCGAACATTTTCATCATCGGACCGGCCCACATATTGGGCCTTTCCGGCGATCGCTTGCGTCATAAGCTGAGGGTCTTTCGAACGAGGCCCATGACCAGACCAATCTCGTTTACATTTGCGCATTTCCTGAACAATGTCAACAAGACCACTTCGTCTCCGCAGGTCAGCATTTGTGACGTGTTCTCGATGTGAGAATTTCTGCGTTCCATTGACCTCTTCCTCACAGCGAATGTCTCTTTGTCTGCTTTTGTAGACGACCAGCATTCCCATGCATAGTTGTGGATGCATTTGGCTGGAATGAAGAACGTTACGCTCTTCTCACGACGCTCAGTTCAGGACTGTTTTCTATATTTGGTGATCCATTCGCTGAATGCAGTTACCCTCTTCCCAATAGGGCACCATCCCTCCTCCCATATGTTCGATCGAAATTGAGATGGGTATTTCTCCAGACCTCTGATGGCTTACGCATATGGAAATCGGAAAGCAGTCTCAGGTTATCTTGTTTCCCGATGAGTGCAAGTATGTACTTCTGACTGGTAATGACCGCACCTACCTGTTAACCTTCCATGATTCGATGCCTATGTGAAGCACCAGTGAAGCTCATTACCCTATTACTCGTGCCGATGTCCATGAAAAGCTGAGTTGGGATGAAATGGTGCCCCGGTAGCGTAACTGGTAGCGCACTTGCCCGGAAAGCGAGAGGTGCGGGTTCTAGTCCCGCCTGGGGCGAAAGTTTTGTTCACAACCCAGCATTCTTGTGAAACTGAAAATTGATTGATGAAAGCACAATTGTTTGGCGGACCTGAAGAGGCTAGTTTGATGCCCACATTGTATGCCGAAGCATGTCATTCCTGAAATAGTTGCGTTTTTGCTGGCTGCTCAAGCGGGGCAATTCATTAACAGTGATAGATGGGCGATCCAGCGCCAATATCTTAAGTCGAATTCGATCATTAGATTTGAGTGATGGGAAATCAGCCTAATGGAGCTTTGCAAATTATGCTATTATTAGACCGGATTGCTAGCACACATGATCAAAAAAGCGCTAAACAGGACAGAAGAATGATTAGGGGACAGTCAGTTCAGCCACAAGTATGAAAGACTATGCGCTCTATGCAAAACCACGGAGGTTCTAATCTTTTAAGAAGCTAGTCGGAACAGTCAGAGTCTGTCTCGAATTGAAGCATGAATACAGCTGTCCAAATTGAGGTCCAGGACTCTCGTATTTTGACCGCTTGTTTTACAATGAGCAATCCGTTTTGTCTTATGTCAATGACACGATGATCAACCCCCAAATGGGCATTTTTGAGAATTACGCTACGCAGCCGGGTGTCTTCATCGTAAAGTATTACCCCATGCCAATTGGCGGGTCCTTTTATCACAGAGTTCATGCTTATCATCACAGTTGGTGACAATACGCTTCAGTAGTAACCGTAATGTTTCATGATTATGGCGCTCAGTACAACTTTCCTTCAACTATGCCCCTAGAGAGAGTCTGTCCACTGAAATCAAAATTGCTCTTGAATCGAGAAAATCATTACTGAACGGTCCCTTCAGCAGTAGCCTTTCCCATACCCGATGCTGACCTTTTAGCTATTTTGGCCTTTGTGATGCGTTTGCGGCTCCATAGTATTCGTGAAGCACTACTTGTCGAGGTCTTCGTTTGTACCGGCCATCAACTCCAAAATTATACAGGGGGCCAGAAAAAAGACATTTTGCCCAGGTCGAACTTTGGCATTTTTTTCTTCGCATAGATTGCCGTTGCTGATGAAAATCCTCAGCAGACAATATCCCTAAATGTCCCTCTATAAGTACACGCAGGCCCTCCTTCACTCCCCTCCAACGCCTTCAGAAATATCGACGCATCTTCATCTGTCGACTCAGGAGGCTACAGACTGCTTCAACCCGCAAGCCTTACATAATATGCTTGAACCGATTAAACATGGATACAAGTTTTTGGGACATCCTCCTAACTAAACCCCTCGGAACCTGCCCTTCGGAACCCGTCGTAACGGTACACACGATCAGTCGAGAACCCCACTGAGCTCAACCAGAGCACCATGTTTCCGGGGCAAGTTTTCCTGATGCCGTCCACGTAGATGGCCACTATGAAGATTTTCTTATGAAATGAAATGCGCTCTTCAATTCTAAGTTGGGAGCACACGCTTTGAGCTGAGCAAAGGTGATGAAATCCATTTGATGTGAGAACAAAATGCCCATTTTTATGGGCCCTGTATAGCTTCGTTAAGTAATCGGAAGCATCGGACATCTGTATACTCCGTCTCACAAAATGTCAGCACTCCGATAGAAACAAGCAATGCTATCAAGTATGCATACACCATGTGCTCTCCCTTATTTTGCGTTTAGATATTCAGAAAAAAAATACTCAACTCATCAACCTGACAATTAATATTTGTACAGTTTATTCCCTGTTTCTCAATCAGTACAGTCGTACATTCCGGACTCTCTGAATTAGGAAGCGAATCCATCAGACTTGCTGAGAAAGGTTCTTGAAGTAGTATGTGACATGCTTCTCCTCTTGACATTGCCGCTCTAATTTCCCAAATATTTTAACGAGATGTAAAGCATCGGACCAGTAGACCAATTTGACCCTTTAAGCGCTAAAATGTGTTGACCACTGAATACTTCAAATTCCAGCTCATCGCGATTTCGGCCACTTCTATGGAAGCAGTTATATTGCTGCCCCAGATGGAAGTCGAACTCCAGTGCGTTCTCAGCAAAATTTAAGATTCGAATCTCTATGGCTCCCTTAAAGGAAAAAACTATATTTCAGGGACTGTCGCGTACGAGGGATGGAGTGCTCATTGCAGAGGTTGATCTCAATCTCTGCCGTCAGACAAAGGACGCTTGGGGCTTTAGGGTGAGTGGGTTGAGTGAAATCAGTAGAATAAAGGAGAGGTGCGCATAGATAAGACCAGGGTTGCGAGGTCTTTTGAATTCGTTTTGCAGTGTGAGCATAACATAGTTATTTCAGATGACAAACAGATTGGATCTCTACGCGAAGAGTTTTGCAAAAGCTGCTGATCCATACTACAAACCCGATATTCGAAAGGAAACCTAATTGATGCTCGAAGATTTTATGAATAAATCCTCAAGTGTTCTCTCGTTGGAGTAAAGAGTTAGAACAGTTCATTCACACTTGACCTTCAAAAAGCTGATATGATGGAAGACTATCCCTACTATACAGGGTGGCTAAAAAGTACAGGACACGACTTTGCCCACTAGATGACACCTAGCCGTAGTGTGTTCTGGATATTTCAAAACTTTGTGAAAGCCTTACAGCTGTGTAAGAAGCTCCATGAGTTACTTGGCCCGAAGTTCATATGAAGTTTTGGAGTTTTCGCATCGACTCATAATTAAGAGACTACCCAAGAAGGTCTCCGAAGTTACGACTGTGTAGAGCGACCCGATATAAAATATTAGGTTGTCTCATAAATAGTGTCGCTTTTTCTCAAACAAAAAGTTTTCTACTATATCCTCAAGCTTTTACACCATGTCATATACCATTCGAAAGAGAATTGTCTGCTCTACAAGATGTATGTTCCACTTCCACCTCTGTTCCAGGGTTTTCAAAATTTTAGGTCTGCGAAATGGGAGGTCCAGCCGACAAAAATTGACCAAACCGACAACTAGCTCTAACTTTATTTTCCCTGGGGAGAAATCAATCAATGATGTACCCTCTACTTACTCATGACCTCTTCTAAACATTCCACCCTTAGGTTTGCCGAAAAAGCTTTGCCGTGTTTCTTTTTAAATTGGCTGACCGATAAGCCATACCAATTTTCAATTTGAAATTGTTCCTCGTGAACGCCGTTGTTTCATATCGAATGGTGTTCCTTTTGTGAGCAACTCTTCTGCTCTATTCGCTCAATTGATTTGTTTTTATTTTGCTGGGAATTAGTTCGAATTTTAGGTGTTTAGGAATAAGGTGTTCTATCCACGAAAGTGACCGATATTCAATTGTGATATATTCAATGTCATAAAAAATACCTCATTAACAGTTATTATAGTAGAGTCAAACGACACAGAATATTCCCCACAATACTTCAAAACAATACTGGAACAGTCTCACATCTGGCCCTTTGAATAGTGTAAAAAGCTATATCCTCATAATGAAAGACGAAATGAGTTCTTCTACAATAAGGATTCCAGAGCTTTCGGTTACGACAAGACTGATACGTATATAAACGTTATGCCGATATCGGCTAACCGGCTCAACACGTTATACGTGTGAGTGCTGAAAGCTATGGTACGTATACCATGAAAAGCTGAGTTGGAATGAAATGGTGCCCCGGTAGCGTAACTGGTAGCGCACTTGCCCGGAAAGCGAGAGGTGCGGGTTCTAGTCCCGCCTGGGGCGAAAGTTTTGTTCACAACCCAGCATTCTTGTGAAATAAACGTTTAATTTGTACTACTAATTATAGTCTCATACTCAGCCACAAACCATTTTCTATTTATAACAAAATTAGTACTACAGGGTGCTCCATTAATACTGCAACACATTTTGAGCTTCTACAGTGCGTTTCATAACTATAAGGTCACCCTAAAATATTGCATTTCCGGGACCAGCAGCCAACTGGTGATTTTTCCACTATCACCAAATGATTCCCCACTACGAATAACCCCTGTATCGCAATTTTGGTGGGAGCAGCTTTTCTTCGAACTTTTTTGTAATTATTTTTCGATTTTTGCACCGTTTCATAATATAAGGTCACCCTGTGAAAATGAATACTACATTATCGGAAACAACCAACCTGCCTGTGAAATTGAATGTTTGTTACAAACACACCCAGTAGCTAAATTTATGGAATGTTTCGTACTCGCCTTTTGAAGAAAAGGTAAAGTTTATGCATTTCATGGTGCTTGGCACGGTTCGCGAGTCTTTCCAAAGAACTTCGGACAGTCATTAGCACTGCTCATGGATAATTGAAAAGCTCCTACGTCTCCAGATATTCTACAATATCAGAACATCCACAAAATGGTTTCTATAAATGATTAGAGAAGAGTTATGAGGGCTGTCCCGTGCAGTATTTCCGCTTCAAATCGGCGTCGTGCCTGATTTAAGGTTTCTATCTTGAAAAATATGAACTGGAGTGCGGTGAAATTATGCAACAACATTACCAGGAAAGCAACAAAGATGGTCCGAAGGCTCAGTGGCCATTGCAAAGTGGCACAACTTCAACCCGTAAAGTTGAACTTGAAGAGAGTTTGAACAAGGTTGAGTCTGCTCCACAGTCGCACCATATAGCAAGATAATTCCAGTAAAGTTGGTATTTTTTGGACAAAACTGGTTTACATAAACAGATCCTGCGAATACACTGCGTTTCATAAATATAGGTCCACCCTAAATTTTTGCTATTCCAAAGTTGCTGTGCATTTTTGGAAAATGCCGCTATTACCAATAGTTTCCCCATAACGAAAAACCTTGATACTTGATTTCTGGAGAAATCTCGATTCAGAATTATTAAAATATCTTCCTTAGAACGTACCGTTTCGCAAATATGACTACACATCACTTGTCGAGAGATTTTACTATAACGAAAAAACGTCACGAATTTTCAATAATGGGATGACCCCCCAATAATCATAAGGAACACAATAATACGTTTTGAAATGCTGGTAGCCAAATTAGCTATTACAGTAGGATCGAAATTCGTCTGGGCGCCGATGATCGACCTTTTCAGCTTTTCGGCTGTTCCATTTTGCTTTACTTTGCTGTGGAACTTTATAACAATTAAGGCCCAATGATTCTCTATTGGAATCTAATTCAGATAACATGGTGGCCACCAGATAACTGCCACATTTTTTCCTGCAATTCCATCTGGCGCGGAGGGACCGGCATGGACAGCCGCGTTATCGTGTGTGAAAATCAAGGATAGAGGGGATCCTTGTTGAAAAAATGGTAAGACTCGCTTCGAAAGAACTTCACGATACCCTGTGGAATCTTTGTGAACGGAAACAAAAGCGAGCTCTAGCTACTCAGTCGTTCAAAGGTGCCTCAAACCATAAGGGATTCACCGCCGAAATTACGTTACATTGAAACCATCTGCGATTTTCACGCGATCATCCTGTACCCTCTTTTTCTGCCATATCCACCTAGAATAAACTTTTCCACGTCGATCTCAGACCACCTGTAGAACGAAACAAGGAGGTAGAGTCCAAGATCGCGAAGGGTCTTAACAGCCACACCATCGCTCATTAAGTTGAGCCCTTTTCCACGGAGAAATGGAGACTTGCGATCTTGTAGCGCTCAAATAATCTTGGAACGCTCTTCATCAATCCGTTGAAGATGTTATTGCTCTGCTGGCTTACTCACCACACGGTGGTTTTGCTCACGGAAGGCCGCATTTCAGTACGGACTTTGTTCGGACTCCTTGTATAATTCGAGAGAAGACACCCAATTCCTCCTAAATTTTGAAGGAAACGCAGTCTTTATTTACCTAAGCGACTCTTCTCTCCGCACTGACCAGGATTTTGCACATAGTCGCTTATGCAGTATGAGCCGGCCGACATGGGAGGAAATTCTGCTCCTCAGCTATCCCACTTCAGTAAGTGCTCTAGCTTGAGCTTGTTACTGGGAAGAGAGGCGAATAACACGAGGTATGGTAAACTCGATGTCGACTGAGCCCACATATTTCCCCGCTTCCCTGATTCCCTTCACGGATCGTGAGAAATGGAAACTTTTTATGAGTGGCCCGATATTCATGAAACGGTGAAAATTCGTTCTAAAAAGTTAATTGGGTTACTTGAGGGGGGAATTTGTCAGAAAAACACTATGAAGGTTTTCCGTGATGAGGAATCTAATGGTGATAGCAGCATTTCCAAAAAATGCACAGCAACTTTGGGGTAGCAAAAATTTAGGGTGGACCTATAATTATGAAACGCAGTGTATAAATACTTTTGAAGTGACTTGCGAAGGTGGCCGATTCACTTCAGCGCTTGCAATTTTAGTTAAGGAAATGTGAAAGGTGTGGGTGCTTTTTGTGATGATGTTGTGTCAAAATTTCGCTTCCATAACTGCATAATGGACTCCAAAGATTAGCATAGAGCCTTGCGAGGACATCTGACCTCTTCCTTGAGCTGATGAAGTCGGCTAGCCTACGTAGTCATACAGAACAGTACAGGTACCCATGTAGGTCATTCAACCAGAAGCAGCATTTCTCTCGAAACCCTGATGAACTGAACAAATTTTTCTGAATTTCTAGTCGTGTTCTAGTAGAACATCTCAGGGGCATCTTCGTCATGAGTAATAGTGCGGATAAACGCCAGTTAAAAATTACACAAGAGCGTGTACAAGCAACCCTTGAACACGGAAGTGAATCGATGGTGATCTGCCTTGGAATCTCAATTCCGGTAGGCCACGGAGACTATTCAATGTTGCCCTTGATAAAGGAGGAACCATACATTATTATGTCTATTTTATCTGTCATTAATCTTAGGTAATTGTTCTTTTCCTCAGGGTGACCTTATATTATGAAACGGTGCAAAAATCGAAAAATAATTACAAAAAAGTTCGAAGAAAAGCTGCTCCCACCAAAATTGCGATACAGGGGTTATTCGTAGTGGGAATCATTTGGTGATAGTGGAAAAATCACCAGTTGGCTGCTGGTCCCGGAAATGCAATATTTTAGGGTGACCTTATAGTTATGAAACGCACTGTATTGTGTGGGTGTCTGTAGTCCTTTTCCCAAGGTTGGCATACCTTCACTTCCTATGACCTCTTGTGAATAACCTTGCCGAAGTGCACGGCTTACCATTCGTTGTACATCTCATGGTGCACCTAAACCTCAAAAGAGGTCCTAATCCCTCATACAGCTAGGTCGGACATCCGGTGATGAACATCGCGCTTCTTTGGATTTTCAACCGCTCCTTGGCCTACCGTGTACTAAAGAGAAGACCAATGGAAGTAGTCTTTGTTGCGGCCGCCCCACAAGTTCTGACATCTTGGATCTCAGGAAAAGCATGAAGAAGCGAAACGACTGCAATACCCGGGTTGGCTCGAGAAAGGTGACCAGAACGCTGGAGTTTCTAAACACAGCCATGTAGAGAGTGGTCAGATAA